ATCAAAACTATATCCTAAAATGAACCCAATCATATTGAATTTATATCATAATTAAATATATTTTTCTCACAATTTATGGTCAAAGAGTGTCATCGTTTGACTAAAAAAAGTCAAAATAGAAAAGGTTTTTAGGACTGGAGGGAGTACATCAAATTAATTAGTAGCATCAATCTTGCATTCAGGTATATAACCACAAGTAATTCTGCATATATTACACGCTTAATATAATCTATCTACTCCAAAAGTGTGGGGAGCTACTATACGTACGGTACCCAATTTAACAAATACATCCATCCCCAGCATCCCTCATAATTCTCTACACTAAAAGTTGTATCTCTATCTTCAAGCAACTATATATTGTGAGCAAACTGGAGGGGAAAAGAAAAAGAAAGAGAAAGAAGGATTGAGATTTACAGGTGTCTCACAGAGGCCGCAGCAGAGGGTAATCTTCCAAGAGTTCTCGCTCGGATAATGTGTCGTTTTCATTTTGTGGGGTCCACAAAACCTCTACCGCCTGCACATGTCGAGAGAAAAGAGAGAGCGCGTGTGAGGATAAGAAAATAATTCAGGAAAAATAAGACATTGTTTCGTGACGTCTGCTGGTAAGTAAGTAACTTGGAGCGCAACATACCAGTATTCGGCTTGATGGAATCGATGCAAGTTTCTGCAGAGCTTCTTTCAAATCTCCACTCCCGTTAATGGTAGGTAGTTTATACGATCCTTCGGCAGCCACCAAGATGGTCACCTGAACAACAATACTAGTAAGGACACACACATATACATACACCCCTAAATACAAGGCTTTCCTGCACAATAAGCAGAAAAACGAATTTTGGTCCTTACCACAATATATTCATTGCTAAATGCATTTGCCCTCTGGCTCATTGAAGTTTGCCTTTTAATGCTATTTACATTGACAAGTGTCTCTTCATCAAATTTACCACGCTCCTCAATTGAGAGATGATTGAATCGTTTCTCACCTTCCTCCATGCTCTTCTTCACATCAACCTGTGTATGTACAAAGCATACACTAATAAAGTTACAAGAGGGTCAGTTAACACTTGAGGATCTTAATGCAATAAAAGCATTGATCGAGAAGAAGGGAGGGAGGTATTATTGTCATGATTTGGCATGCACAATGAATAGAAGAAGGGATTATAGAACAGAACAATGACTAATACTAACCTCTTGGTTTATAGGCCAGTGTCATTTAATTATTTTACAGGATAAGTATTTTCATTCTCAATGCACATATATTGTCCTAAATCACAACATAAATTTGTTACACTGATCCATAATTCCATCAAATTTTACCAATGAAGCATAGGAACGCCAATCCCATCATCCCATATTTATATGACATTTGATCATATTGGTACACACAAGTATGACACCCTAAAAAGCAAAGCATCCGTTTTGTTACACACAAGATAACAAAAGGAAGTAATGCTTCAAAGTTCAAACTAGTTCTCTCACATTATCTTCCCACTATGTTTAACTACAGATATTGAAGGATGAGAAATGTGTTAGAAAATAATCGGACCATATGAATACCTAGATAATAAATAGAATGACAGTCCAAGATGGACTTAAGAACTAAGGAAGTACTTGTTAAAGAATTTGGAAAACATGCGCACAGCTGGAATACTTTCGAAACCTCAATCACACACCATAAGAAGCAAAAGATATATGAGGGATGAAAAGGTAGCACCATTACTTACAGATGAATAAGCTGAGATGCAATAATCCGGATGGCGAAGCAAAGCTAAAGTTGTTTCTGCAATCAGAACAAAAAAAATAAGTTTCCAACTATACCAAAATGAAGAGATACCCACAAAAGGTGAAAAAAATACAACTAGATGGAAATACAAAATGAAGATCATACCTGTCAATACATAGCTTAAGCCCTCGGGTGTGGATGTATCAGCTACTTCTGCCATCCGGTTCAAATCACTCTGGAGTGATCTACCTAAGCCCAATAAACCAACCTATCGAAACAATCATTAGTGGTATTAGTGTATAAGGACATTTTCCAATATGTGTGAGTTAGACCTGCAATCTCTATCCCGCCCTTCAATATAACAAACACAAATATTCACTGGTAGAGTGTGGCGCAGCATATATTATGCTCTAAAGTATAGGCATGAGCATGACCGGGCTACTTTCATATATAATGCAACAGCAAAGCCCTTTGTCGATTCACATCATTTTACTCTAGCATTTTAACTGCAATTGTATTGATTGTAAAAATATAATGTATATGCCAAAAAGAAGCAGGCCTTCATTCCCTTCAAATATCTAATCAGAAATGCATAAAAAAAAGTACTCCGTACAAGTTGTCAAGAAATGATGTGTATATTAAGTAGTAAATTAGTAATTTATAACTATTGTCTTTCCTAATCATATTTGTATACATCTTTAAAAAAGTTGTTTTACAATCAATACAATTGCTACGCCAGAAATCAGTTCTGTAGACCACTTTTAATTCAATAACAAAACTTCCACAAAACAAATCACACTTTCATATAAAATAGACAAAACCAAACAAGTTAAAACTACTCCCTCCGTCACTCTGAACTTAGTTATCCACTTGTCCCAACACCTCAAATTTAAGGAATGGTGACAAAAACAAAATCATTGTAATTGGACTATCATCCATTGTTAGCAACAATCTTAACAATTAACAAACATGTTCTTCTGAAGTATTTTTGGATAAATCAAATAAGGTTTAAGAAAAACTAATTCCGGACATCCACAAAGCAGAGGAGGAGAACTAAATTTGGAACGAGAGAGAGTATGAAATCAACTGATTTTTGAACTAATCAGCACAAACTTAGAATCTATCTACCTGAAGCTTAATAACAGAGGTTTTCTGGGCAGCGGCAGCAGTGAGCACACTGCCGCCCTCAGACCTGTCAGAGAGGAAGCCTGAGACCAAAACGAAAGCTGCGACGCTCGCCATTATGAAGAAGAAACTGGAACCAACTCCAACAGCGGGTCCCAAGTAAATCCCGCCTCCTCCAAATCCAAACGGTGAGGGTTCGTAATAGGGCACCGAATAAGAAATCCTAGGCTCCACAGTCCTCCGCAAGGAGTAATAAGAGGTAGAAGGGGCGGAGGAGGAGGACGAGGAGTCTCGAGAAGAAAAGGCGCGTCCGCCTACCCTGCCGCCGGAGTGCGCGGCCATAGCAGAGCCCGGATCGCACATAAAGAGCAACCCGACGAGAAGAGCGACAAGCGCCGGCCTAAGCAGAGCCTTGACGGCATTGGGAAGAGTCATTTCAAGCGTGTGGCAGCGTTGATCGCTTACATTCGCCTGAAGATCCGGCAGACCCGCTCTGAATACAGACTTAGCAGAGGCGGGATGGTCGTCGCCGGCAGCTTCACCGGCGGTGCAGAGGCGGCAATTGAGGTTGAATGGAGGGGGTTGTTTAGGGAGGGAGAAGATTGGGAGGAGTGTGGTGCGAGACGGAGAAATAAGGGAAGGGAGTCGAAATGGAGGGCTTAAAGGTCGGAGTGGAAAGGCGTTCCATTTGAGGAGGTGAGATTGAAGCAAATGTTGAGTCGCCGTCGCCGTCGTCGTCATCATCGCCAGACGGGGAGAGGTGATGGTCAAACCAAAGGAGAACTATCAAAGGATTTGGAGAGCCAATTGGACTACTACTTTGCCTTCATGTCTCAATTTTTAGATTGTGTTAGATAAATTGTTGCATTGCACAAGAATTTAATTTTGTTGCTTTTAAATTTTGTTAGGGTCCGTTTGGTATAGGGAATTGATGGAATTGGAATTGAATTGATTTAATTTCATAGAATTGAATTAATCAATTCCAATTTACTTTTTGCATTATCAATTCTAAATCCACACAATTTTTGTGCTACCAAACGACAGAATTGGAATTGAAGCCTTTAATTTCAATTTCATAGTTTGAATTTCGTGTACCAAACGGAGCCTTACATTAATTTATTACATAACACAATAATATAGTGTGCGCTTTCCGGTGTTTATAAACTAGTAAAAATTAATTATATACTTCCTTCGTCCTAAAACTTTCTTCCCGTTGCGCAAAACGAAGAAAAATCCCAAGTTTTTTCAATCTATTTTATTTAAATATTGGTATAGAAATAAAAAATAAAACATACATATTTAAAAACTACATCAAAAATTCAACAAAACAAGTGGTGACAAGAATATTTTATTTTATCATATAGGCCATGAGAAAACACAAATAAATATATATTTCCGTGAAGTTGGAATAGTGCTCTGGGAAGAAAGTTTTAGAACGGAAGGAGTACAATTTTTTACTTATATGCCAACCGATGACATGTTTTTGTGTGCTTATAAATTGATTTATAAATTATTTATAAGTCAGAAATAATAAGTAGATCTTAACCAGAAAAACTACTTGTTTTTAATTTAATTTTTTCATCTCTTCGTTTTAATCGAATTATTTACAAAAGTGTGTCTCACCATTCATGAATATTACCAGGTGACTTATCTATCATTTATGTCATTTTACTTCCATAAAAGAATATTTGATTTATAAACAAATTATAAGTTAAAAGCTAATTATCATCAATAAGCCAATGTGATAACATAGGTAATTTTTTTTTCACCAACAACTCCGGCAATCCAAAACCACCAACTTAAACAGTCCACAACCAATTACGGATGACCAAACAAGGCCTTGAGCACCACTCTTTATAGTGTTTATGCAGTATATATTAATCTAATCAATGAACTCGGCAAATATTCACTTTAATCATCAAACTATTCACAGTATTGACGCAAAAAGGAGTCCTAAGTTCTAACAACGAAATCTTCCCCCTCCCCAAAAGTTTATAGTATATTCAAAATAATACCATTATTTATAAATTCAAAATTTATGCATAATTATTACAAATAAAATCCAAAACATAAAATTCAAACATGATCACTGTTATGAAATGAAATACGAGTATAATTCAGAACTTCAAATTAACGCCCACATTTTTTTTATTTGCGCCATTTTTTTTCTTTATGTAGCTATTTGCTCAGTGCTTAACGCACAAATAAAGTGTATAGAAACATACTGAAAAAGATATCATCTGTGACCAATGCTGTTTGTCTCTTCACAAAAGAAAACTTACACTGCACCAGTAAGACTAGTAGATGTATGGATTTCATATACACCTAACCAAATTTACAATGACCGTCCTTTTTGTTTTTTTCTTTCCCTTCCTTCATAGCTAGTTTTGATGCTGAAGGACATCCCTGAATCTACAACTCCTACTTCTTCCTCTTGTTCTGTTTGTTTGTTACAAGATACAAGCAAAGATGTAACCCTAAAGAATAATGACGATGAATGAATGATGAAAAAAGACCTTACTGCAGTGACCCCGGGTGAGCTGGGCGCGTTTTGACTTGATACACCATCTTAACCTGCTTCTCACGCCCGTCGTTTGAGGTTATTTGCTGCTTTGAGCTCATCCCCCTGCCGCCGCTAGATGAAGGTCGGGTGATCCACCTTGGAGGCGGTGATGGAAGTGGGCCCACATTGTTGTTCGCGAATGGAGGGATGGGCTGAACGTGAGGCAATCTAGGAGAAGGTGCTGTTTGTTGCCTCGTTCTTCCACTGCCTTCAATCGTCAATGCAGACATCCCACCCCTGATGCCGTGGGTCGGATCTTGGTGTAAAAGCCTGCCTGGTCCTCTGAAATTTTGCCGGTTTCCTTGGAACTCATTTGGGGCAGGCAACGACGGTCCACCCCTGATGCCATGGTACTGCTCTGGATGAAAATGTCTGTCTTGCCCTCTGTAATTTTGGCGGGTTCCATGGAACTCGTTTGGGACAGACAACGGCATTCCACCCCTATTGCCGTGGTACTGATCTTGATGAAAAACTCTGTCCTGCCCTCTGAAATGTTGGCGGTTTCCTTGAAACTCATAGGGAGAGGGTGGCCCATATCTTGGGCCGGGAATGCCCATTACACCACGAGGGGCATTATTGTAATGATTACCATATGAAGAAGGATCGTCATAAAACCGACCAGATTGTACAGCAGCTCGAGCCCGATAACCAACATGGTTTCCTGCTGAGCTTTGATTAGAATTCGTTTGGTCATAAAACCCCTCATCTCGTCCCCATGATCCACCAAAAGCCCTTGGCTTAGTTATCATATTATTGCTTCCAGGGCTATTTCGGAAGTTTGCCTGGTTTGATGCTCCTCCGCAATTCCCCCCATACCCGATATTTAATGTGCTCTTGAGCAAGCGATGTGCCGCTTCTCCTAATGAAGGACCGGCAATCGCACCAGCTACTGGGGGCCTGCAGTGCCAAACATATCAGTTGAAATGTGAGAGTTTATGGTGGTTTTCTTGGTTATGTTTCTTGTTTTCTGTTATACATTTTCTAGGTATGTTTTGCAGGCAATTTATATTAGCGATCAAAATGCTTTTCAAATAGTGTCAAAATTGGAAACATGTTTTCCAGAAAACAGTGGAACCCAGAAGAATGTTTCCCATAGATTCTAGAATTCATGTTTTTGTTTTCAAAACCATCAGAAAAAAAAAACCCTCAGTATAATTATATGTTTTCTTGTTTCAGTTTTCAGAAGGTGAAAACAAACATTACCAAACGACACCTGAGTTCACAATACATTTAACAATGAAACTGCAGATTCCAGCATCGGAGGAATGCTCATTAAAAGAAAGGCATACCAAAAAGAGGAACCAAAGTATACCTATCTTTGCCAAGCTGCCGCCTAGAGCCATACTCTTCATGCCATAACGCAGGTAAGGGTTTTACATCAAACTGTCTCACAGCCTGTACCAGGAAAAGTAAAAGGCTATTTTCAGGTTTCCATACAAGAATAAACACTAAACCTTGGAGTTTTGAAAGTATAAGAACACGAATCAACTTGTAAACATCATAATTTACCATTTATATGATTTTTCTTTTGTAAACTCAGGTAACATATTGCAATCCTATATTGATGAACATGCTACAAATTCAGAAGGGTTTTTCAAAATTGCAACTGAGGGCTTATTAAACGACAGAAGAAGCAACTAAAGAATCTACAACCAAATACAAGCCACTTTGTAATCATTAAAATAAGGTTGGGTAATAGAATACTAATATACTGGGGGAATAATTGGTGAGCAAAATAGATATGAGTTCAGATATCCAAGATATTAAGTTCTTTTCACGAGTGTTTTGTGAGCCATATAATGATATAAGGGGCCAAGTCATGATATCTCTCGATGCCTGACCCCTACCCCACTATAGGGTGTTTTGATATCCCTAAAATCGGTGATATCAATGCAGGGAAATTAAATCAAGTGAAGACCACTCGCTGCCACCAAATACCATCAGCTTGCCCCCAGCACCAGCCCCTTCCATTCCAACACTGTTTACCAAATGGGCTCTAAGATCTAGCATTCTTAAGAATGAAAATATCTGTATGGTTCTCAGCAAATACAGCACAAGCACCCAAGAAAAAGTTGTGCCATTTTAAATGTTGTCATCAATCAGAACCTATCTCTTACCTTACTAGGCATAATTACTCCTGCAGGAGGCTTTGGTATGTGCTTGTGGGGAGGAGGATTCAGAAAGGTAATATTCCTGGGAAAACAATCAGTACTGCATATTAAAATCACGGTAACATGCTTAAAGTAAATTTACTTTGTTTGAAGTTAGGGTTCAAATGTGAGACATAGAACTTACAAAATTTGATTGTTAGTAATGGCATCCAATTCGGGAATTGGGGGAGGAACCACATTTTTCAGCCCATTTCTTTCTGACAACCAAATGAATCCATTCATTCCACCACTGCACCAAAAAAAAGTGCAACAGAAAGTTGACATACTGAATATAACTGGCATATGCAATACATGAGCTAAAACATAACTTATTATTAGTAGCATTATTGATACCAACCTTGTACTAGCATCAATTGGCCATGGTATTTGTTCCTTCGGAGGCACGGAAACATTATGGCGATAGTAAGTCAGGATATATGGTGCCAAAGGATGTAAAGGGTGAATATACAGCAAATCAAACATCACGCTGTTTCTTAGTTGCTCTTCTGGCTGAAAATGACAATGTGAGTGATGAATGAATAAAAGCTTTTCAAAAAAGGCAATGGGAATAAAAGTTCAGGAACCCCCAATCAAGGAAAATGAAATAATTTAGGGCAGAGAGAGCAATATCTAATGTGTTATGCATACAAACTTTCGGGAGCAGTATTTCTTCACTATGAAAATGTTTTGAAAAGCGAAACTTCATCCAAATCTATCAGCACCATTCTGTGATTCCTGAACCATTTTTTGGAACGTTTGGGTGACTCTATGGTAGATAGAACAAGAATCTGACATGCTTTTCTGCCTTACAACAATGATTCTTGGTGACTTTTAAGTACATACAAACATCAACAAACCCAGATAATTCCAAGATTGTTTGGTCTGGGAGGGTCAAAAAGTGCACAAACTTACCCTTGTAAAAAACAGGAAGGTTGTTTATGTTCAACCCTAATATGCACTCTTATGAATCTACCACCCAAATGTGCCATTTTGATTTCCAAAGCTAAAACATAGTCAAAATAACTCTTTTAGCGCCATTGACAATTATACTTGCTAAAAAAACACATTACAACCTTCTGAAAAGGAACTTGACAACCATATAGAAATTCGCTTTCAGTTGTATCAACTCCCTAGACTTAGAGTCTGTATTTCCTTAGCAGTTGACAATGATATACAAACCAATGTTTAAAATCATCTGTCGGATTCAGCAAATCCTTCACTATTTGTGAAATTGTGGCTCAATGTAACAGTTCCAGAAAACTAAAAGATTGATAGATTGAACATGCATACCGTCAAAGTATCTTCTAGCCTCTTTGTTTCAGCAAGCAACTTATTCTCATCAATGAACGGCAACTTCACAACAGCCTAATTCCAAATCGGGCATGGTGAATATATGTCTTTAAAAAAGACAAGATATCTAACTAAATTCATCACTTCTATTGATGAGAGCATGCACAAAATCATGATCAAGTGTCTTTAAACTATGAATAATATCTTAGCATAGTGTGTTACCTGCCATGCAAAACGCTTCCCGTTCATGTCTAATTCAAAGTCTATCCGTGTATACAACCAACAAAATGAAAAGTTACTTACAATTCAAAATTTACCAATAAAAAAAGGCAAAAGTTACTTCAGAATCACGAGGTAGGGGAAAAGCTCAGTCATATGGCATTACCGGTTGGATAAAATTCAATAATGGGAGATGATGGATCAGTCATTAATGTCCTGTATCTTTCAGGAAGAGCACTTGAACTGCAGCAAAGGAAGAAAACCAAAATAAAAATTGATGGCATAAAAAAGTGATATCAAAATGGATACTGATAACAGAAGTTAAGTTCCAAACCTCGCAGCAGGTAAGACACCCATCAGCTGATCAAAGGGCCTAAATGGTTCACCGCGGAAGAATGTAATCTCTAAGTCTGCTAGCCCTTTAAGATCAGAGGCGAATGGAGCATAATGATATGGATAAAACCTGAAAACAGAGCCAGATATTATATTAACTTCGTAATACAAAAAAATGAAATAAAATTGGAACAAATAAATTTTGAGAGGCATCTGTTCAGTGTTCATAAAATTCTAAACACTTCCAGGAAATGAAAATGGAAAAGGTGTTATTATTCAAATGGATATGGAAGTAGAAGACTAAACAGTGTAATAGAAACACAGATGAACAGTACCTGCAGGTACTATTCATCATGTTTTCCCTTGAGTCTATCTTCTCTTGGAGAATTCTTCGTTAGTAAACACCCATCCCTTGAGCTTCTCCCATGGCTTGAGTGGCAGGAAGTCTACTCCCCAAGATTCATGGGGAAGCTCACCCAGATTCGATGAGTAAGTATGAACAAATACTACATTAAAATAGAGCCAATAGCACTCAAAAAACACCCATCCCTTCCCGGCAACTCCCCCCCACCCCCACCTTGCCTAAAAAGATATCACAAACAAATAATTAAAGTACTAAAAATAAAAGGACAGGTCAGGCAGAAACTAGAGCAAATGTCAAATGTTTGTTATACAAGGACATTATTAGTGACCAATATGAGAACAAAATTCCCGACAAACTCAATGACAAGGCAAAGAGGACAGGTATGATGCTGGGATAATACTAACCATTGCCAGGAACATACACCTTGGAAGTAATACCGGCAAACCCAGCACAGCCCTTCAACATACTTCTGAACCTGCAAAAGTATGTTGTGAAGTTGTAAGTTCTTGAGCATGGGAGTGGAGTGTTACTCCCTTACTGGAGATCCAAAACGCCCAAGGACGGTGCATGACAAAAGCTGAGAGTTTTAATAAGGACATTTGGATACATGCCACATCATTGGGAGGAGAAGATGAAAATACTTGGTTATTTATGAATGACTTTGAAAAAGTATCTCTTGGTTCATTTAGCTACCCTCATTGGTTTGGGAATATTGACGTTATTTGAACCAACTGTCCTTTCAAGATATTTCTTTTAGAAAGCAAGACATTTCAGGGAACAGTCGTGGTCAGTGCTCAGCTAAATGAAATTGAAAGGCAACTTAGTTGTCTCCCAAATGGATGTTTTTGCATTACTCTTGCACTGTGCATTCAAAGATGTGACATTGTCCTATAACCTACCATTTATATAATTCAAATCCACTCTTGATCCTTCTAAAGTAATGCATACTGAGTTTATCACATACTCCATATGATGTTTTTAAAATGAGAGAACATTTCACATACATATTACAAAGTTATCTAAGAAGTAGAGTTGCAATTTTTGTGGCAAGAGAAGAGAACAACATAGCACATACACAACAAGTTTCACTTCATATATGCTTATTTACCTTGGGAAGAAAAACATCTGCAATCTGTGTTTCTAATTACATACCCGTTTCCAGGTAGTATCAACACCATCACAATTTGTAAATGATTCAATGTTCTAAAATGCACTGGACGATAGGGGATCAACAAACAAGCGCCTAGATCTCAGAGTCTCTGGCAATTATTAATAGGTCTGAGAAAGGGGAGGAGTAGAAGATGCCTGTGAGGGAGCTAAGTTGGCGGTATCGGCTGCTAAGAATGCAGTTTTTGCATGTCTGTATAGAGGACCCAGAACTCCTGGGGAGTGGGGAGGAGAGATTGCTTTGGCCAGCTAAGGCGTGTGAGGGGAAAGCATGAGATTTGGAATATGTGAGATGCATTAAGGCATAATTGGCAGGGTCTTGTTCCACGAGGTGGAGGTGAGGAATAGGTAGCAATCGCACTTTTATGGGCTTCAAAATGCTACAGACAAGAGACTGCTAGTTGGTGAATAGGGGCAGTCGGAGAGTCATCAAGATTTGGGGTATTAATGGCGCATTAGACAGGATGTGGTGGCGAGAACCATTCACAGGACGAGAGGGGGAGAGCCCCGAAACCGGATGAAATTTTGGTGGAGTTCGGGAAGCTTGTGTGCAGCGATAGGTTGGTCTGGATCACAAAGCTGTTTAGTGTTATTTTAAGTGCGGCCATAGTTATCAAGGCGTTGCCTAAGCGTCGCCTAGGCGACGCCTAGGCGTCTGGGCGAGATATTGGGGACGCCAGATTGGTCGCCTAGCTTTTTCCGCCTAGAATTTGAGTTGTCATCTATTAAAACGCATGCGACAGGTCACCTGGAACGATCTGAATCGCAGCAAAGATCCGGAAATTGAAGATATGGTAAAAATGTGAATTCCAATCGTATAATCGTCCAATTCAGGCACGATTCGATCTTTGAAGATGCGATGCGGGTCGGGCGAGGAAGTGAATTTGCTTGCTTTTCGTCGGCNCAAAAACGTTGATGAAAAAACTAAATCCCTTGCACAAAGAGATATAAATTAAAATAAAGCAAAAAAGAAACAAAATATTACAAAGAGTTCAATAGCAATAATCATTTATTATATATTGATTTTTATTGAAAAAACTGGTTCACAAATTAAAAAAAGGAATAAAATAAGAAACCATTAACATGACAACAACTCATGTGCATGATGATGAAAGTCACGTGTACTTACTGTACTACAACAATTACCCCCAAAGTCTAGCATACACATGTCAACTGTACGATGCATTTATGACAACCTCCGATGCATCAATCACCTGCTACGGGTTGTGTTGCACTATTTGTAAAAAAAAATAAATGGAATAAGTGGATCACATATGGTAAGCGCGAGAAAAGAGGTATCTGAATTATTTCCCTGCATATCGTGTTTCTTTATTTATAGGGATATGACTTTTATTCCCCTCATAACTAATTTTTCCTAATTTGTAGCATTGTCATTATTACTTTACTTATTAAATTAGTTAATTCATTTATTTCAATTGATGGATCGTGTCCATCAGATGCATCAAATCACAGGGTCCATATCTATTCTTATTTCTTATACCAAGCATCTTTCTCACAGGAACCAGCCCATATATATATATATATATATATATATATATATATATATAAAATTAGATTTATATTCCGAATATATTTGTCAAACTCACGAATCGAATACCCTTGATTCATATTCGTATTCGATAAGGATTCGAATATATATTCAGATTCGTATTCGTATTCGAATTTGAAAAAATCGAATACGAATCACCTTAAACGAATACGAATCACGAATCGAACAAAAAATATTCGATTCATTTACAACCCTAGTTTCATGTGCATACTAGTGACGAGTTCTATGGGCTGGGCCACAAAGATGGACTATATCATTAACAAAAACCCAATTATACCATCCTTAGTAGGCCTATAAAAGGGTTGGTTTTGGATTCATACTAGTTAGTAGGGTGAGCATGGTACGATATGGTACGGTATTTAGCTCGTATCGATACCGTACTAAATATTTCAGTTCGGTATGAGATTTTACTCTGTACTGATCTTGATCCTGAAATATCGGTTCGATATGGTTCAGGATGGTTCGGTATCGGTACAAATCGGGATGAATATACATACCTACTTTACACCTTAAAATTTAACAATGTCCCTTTATTTTTGAAAATTAAAAGTGAATTTAAATAAAAAATTAAAAAAATGAATATTTAAATGCAAGAGATGCGTATCAAAACTTAGTTTATATTTCACAAACTAAAAAAATGAACGACAACAAAAGAGTATTTTGAATATTTGTGAATACTTTTATGTTCATACACAAAAACTAAACTCAAATAAAAGTATAATTTACACATAATAGAACTTGAACCAATTTTTTTTAAAAATTATTATTTAGTGAAGAAATATAAAAAATATTACTCAGGGGTTATTATTTTTTATAATATTTTAGTATATATGTTCGGTTCGGGATTTTTGGTATGGGACGTCACCTCGTACCGTTCCCAAATACCGTATTGACCATTCGGTTCGGTACGGTTCGGTTCCTTCTCGGTACTTTTTCGGTTCGGTATTTTTTGGTTCGGTATTCTCGGTTTTTTTGGGAAATTTCGGTATCGGTTCGGTACTTGCTCACCCCTACTAGTTAGTTTAAAAAGAGAGGGCAGAATATAGGACGAGTAGTTCCGACCCACTTAAAATCTGTGCTGAGTAAATAAATAGAAAATATTAAATGCTACAAAATTTTATCTCTCTTCTTCGCTACTCAGCTTCTTCGATGCTTACATAGCTTTCAAATCTATTTGTATTTATTTCACCATATTAGAGGCATGTACGCGTTCATTCATGCAGTAGTATAAAATTTATTGTTTGAAATGAATTGTAATGTTTTAAAGAATATTTTTATAACATGAAAGAATGTGACAAGAAAGTTGGTAATGAGTCTAAGATTTTTGTTGTAGATTTTTGGTAAAGAAGATTGATTTTTGTTACAATAATGTATTAATCTTATTTTAATTTGTATTCAGTTAAAATGTTTTCCATTCATAGTATTTGCACTAATTTTTTCAATTATAGAAAAATAGAAGACGTAAACTTTTATCACGGGTATACGCGACCTAGAACCGAGACCCAATGAATCTAAATCTAGGATTAAACTTCATGATCCATTAGGTAATTAAACGAGTACGAGTCGCGATCAATTTTTCTAAAGGATACGGGTATAGAACACTATAAACCGCCCCGAACTCGACTCATTGAAAGGCCTAATCCTTACAATCTGATTCAAGTCTTCAGGCTTCTGCCATGCCCTTCGGCCGAGTAGATGGCCCATACCGGCCATACGTGGTCGAGCAGCAAGGCTGGCCTAGAAATATTAAAATGAGATTGGCGTGGTGTAAAATTAACGTGTTGGATCCTATTTTATTTTTTTTCAAAATTCTTATACTTTAAAATTACTGGTGAATTTTTAATTATCACTTTTATATAATTTAAATATTAATATATAAATATATATTTAATTTAAAAATATTCAGTAATTAAAATAATACATACTCTCTCCGTCCCAGTGTATTTGTCCAGTTTGACTTTTTCGAGTCAAACTGGATAAACTTTGAGCTTAAATTAAATAAAAATCATAATGTATTTTAACATAAAAGTGACTTTATTGGATGTATTATTTTGAGAACTTTTAAAATTTTATTTTATTATGCTAATATACAATATAAATTGAGAGTAATTGGAGTTCAAAGTTTGTCCAGTTTGACTCGAAAAAGTCAAACTGGACAAATACACTGGGACATAGGTACTCTCTCTGTCCCAATTTAAATTGCCTGTTTGCCTTTTTTTCTCCGTCCCAAAATAAGTTGCCTGTTAGTTGTTATCGTAAACTTTTAAAAATAACATACCTAAACTACCCCTAAAATAAGTCACCCTTCTTCACTTTATCTTCTAATTCATAGTCATCTCTTCTAAAAAGTAATTACAATTTTGAAAAATCAATTCTATTTTTTCTTTTCCTTAAATATGCCCAAAAGTCAAAACAGGCGATATAAAACGGGACGGAGGGAGTAGTATTTAACAAAATGGGACCCTTTAAAGTTTGGGGTCCTTATGCGGGTGGATGCTTTGCACCCCTTCGGACCACCCATGTCGAGCAGTGTCCATGTTCTGGATGCTATGCGGTGGCGGATCCAAGATATGAAATAGGGAGAACTTTCTAAATAGGAGTAAGAAACAATGAAAATACTAAAATAAGTGTCATAAGTCTTTTAAAATTAATTTAGGAGTTCACCCTGCTATTGTTAGACTGTCGCATTATCACATTGTAACTGCCACACTATCACCATCACACTGCCATCTGTTGCCACCGGCGACAAGAGTGCCGCTGTGGATCACCGACGGTTGACTCATCGCACTAACATATTATAATGTCATCACTTTTCCATCACACTGTCAATGCATATTTTTACACCACACTGTCATTGTACTCCTTTTAATCTTAAAAGACCTAGGAATCCTATTTTACTCTTATATAGGGAAATTTCTTAATATAATATAATTATATCACTACTAATTTTGTAGATCTTTTGATATAGTTTTTAAATATGTACTCATATTTTTTTTATTCTACACCATTTTGGGACTTGAGCTAGATATCTTTTATCCCGGGTTTCCATGAATTTAAAACACAGAAGATATCTTTTGAGGATACGAATATACGATTGCAAAGAAGGCGGTAGAATATTGGAATTTAGACATATCTATACGAGACAACGATATGGAACATGACATTTTATCTAACTTGACCGAGTTCACTTTTAAATCAGTTCGAAACAAGTTTTGCACAAAATTTTGGTGCCCTAAACAAAACGAGACTTCATAATACTCAAATCACGATTTTTTCAAATGATACAACGGGATCGAAATTCTTGTCTATCCCTACAAACAAAGGGTAGAATGTCTCTCTCAATTCAATTTAGCTCACTTTCCTCCCATTTTTCACCTTTGAAACACACACACGCCTAAACAGTAAACACACACCTACGGATAGAAGTAGTAAGGGACTAAGGGAGTACTTAACAAAAGAGAATTTTGGATAAATACTACTGCTTCGTATTTGAAATTTACCGGAGTAAAAAAAAGGAAAATGCTAGTGTGCCACCACATGGGTGTTACCATAGGTGCACTCATGCTTCGCAGAAACAAACACAGATGATAATTGTCTGTGTCGCACAGATAATTATCGTGTGTGTTTGTCTGTGCGAAGCATTGGTGCACCCATAGTAGCACCCATGTGGTGGCACCCTAGCATGGTCCAAAAAAAACTAATCGGTCTCCGTCCGTACTTGGTAAAATATTAAGCACAATTTAGAAATGAAAAGAAAAATTTAGAAGATCTCGTAATCGTCGGCCGCTCGAGACAGGAGGTGCGATTTGCGAGCCTTGAGTCTCTTCAAAACCCGGTCCAGCGTGACGTCAAACGCGTCTCCGACGGTTCCCAGCCCTTCTTTCCGGCCGCCGTACACTAGCCTCGGAATCAATTCTATTATCGTCTCTCTCATCTGTCTCACGTTGTCTCTGTGCACTCCTTCCAGAACCTCCCGGATCGCCGTCCCGTTGCTCTTCCTCACGTCGTCGTGGCCGATGTAGACGGAGAACGTCTCCGATATCCACGGCAGGTGCCAGACGTACTGGTCCTTGAACGACCCTTTCCAGAAGTACACCGGGATCGCGCCCGAGATCATGCAGTCGAACATCGACCGCCGCGCCATCCCGTCCCCCCTCGGCTGCAGGCAGAAATCCGAGTGGAGGAACGCGTCGAACACCGCCGGCGACCCTTCGGCGCAGGACGCGGCGGAGCAGTCCACCGCGCGGCAAGCCTCGTCGCGGGAGCAGTAGTCCATTAGCAGGCGCCGGAAGTCGCGCTTGAAGATCTGCCGCTTGCCGCCGACGAAGGTGAAGAGGCTGTCGCGTTTCTGGGATCTGACGTGTCTCTGCCACTCCCGGATGTCGGACTCCGACCGGGGGTGGAATCCGGTGGGGTACGGCACGCTCTCTTCGATCCGATCCTTGACGTGCTTCTCAGGCCCCAACCGGAAAACGTTCTTCATCCGAGGCATGTACAGGAAACTGCTGCCCCAATCGCTGCTGTTGTCGGTCAGTCGCCGGAAGTCCCAAGTCAGCCTTCCGAGAACGATGAAGTGGTCAGCTCCTCTGTACTCGGCATAACTCGGTTGCTCTTCCAACCAATCGAGGAACATCTCGCAGTACCGATCTCGATCTTGATAAGTGTAATTGAACTCCGTGAACAAATACCTGCCGACGGCGATGCCGGCGTAAAAGGGTAAGTAGAATCCGGTGGCCTCCTTCGGATCCATCGTTCTGCACCTGTGATTCAACATCCGTTCGTGGTAAATAAGCTCCGCAGAGTACAAATCCGTCCAATACCAAGCCGGGACGAGATTCTCGGGAACAAGATTCCCGAGCCCGGTCGCCGGCGGGCCGAATCCGCCATTGGCGACCACCTTGCACCCGGTTCCTTTCCACGGATCTAGGTCTTTGCAATTCTCCACGAGCTCGTAGTTGAACTTCCGTGGAATCTCATAGACGTAGACCTTACCGGAGCTGCAATCCTGGCGGTTGGCCGAGATATGGCGGTGGGCGGAGGAAGGGTTAGACGGGGAGGGGTGGATGAGGGAGAAGAGAATCCAGATTTGGAGAAGGATGGTGGCGAGGAGGAAGACGCACTGGTTCAAAGGAATCTGAGATTTGACTGATTGTAAAGCTTGTTTGAGCTGAAGGGGTCGCGGTGGTCTCTGCTCGATTGACTGTGTATTCCCCGGAAATGGGAGATTCAGAGGCATTCTGACTTCCTCCGACGGGAAAACGGCGGTTGGGAACAGTGATTTAAAGTTTCAGGGCGGATAGAGTGGGGAGGGAGACGGGAAGTGATGGGGTGGCCATGAACAGGGAGGGCGGTTGGGGTTTGGGTCCTGTGTCGTCGGTTCACAATGCATCTCCAGACTTTCGTACCATTCACAATTATTAATTGGGTCCAAATTAAATTTTAAAAAAATTGGATCCAAATTTTTTATATATTGGAAATTAGAGCGTTCAGCTGAAATATTTTTAATTTAGCTTCTATCTCTCTTTACCTATTTCACTTTAACTATTCATTTCATGTTGTATTTGATTAACTATATACTCTGTATAAAAATATATAATGATCTAAAATATGAAAATTATATCAAATTATTGGTATTGAAAAATAATTTAATAAATTATTTTTAATGTTCCTTCGTTAATCTATTTTGATGGATATTAATGGTTAGACTTTAAGTTCGAAAAGAAAAATAGATAGTTACATATGAATTGAGGGAGCTTTGAGTGTAAGTTTGAATGTAGTACTTCTTACATTTCTCATTGTTTGTGCACCCCAATCATAATAGCATCCCCAATTGGAGTCTTGAGAGAGCATTGAGAGAGTCTCAAGACTCCCTTCTCCGAGGACATATAAACAGTGAGGAAAGTCTAAAAGACTCCCGACTCAACCTATTTAATAAAAATTAGATACGTGTAGTTAATACTCCTTCCGTCCCGTGAAATATGGAACAATTGCTTTTTAGGAGGGATTTTGGTATTGAATTTCCAAAAATGCCCTTTGATGTGATAGGTAAAAGTATGATTTGATGGATAGATTATTAGTAAAAATGTATGATGTGATAGTTAGGATATGAAAAAGTAAGGGGTAAAAGTGACTTTTTAATAGAAATGCGAAGTGTTTTGTGGGGCGGATAAAAAAAGAAAGGGGAAATGTTTCACGGGACGGAGGGAGTAATACTTATTTTTAAAAAAAAATTAGTTGCAATTTTTTCTAATAAAAATAAAAAATGATAATTTAAAAAAAGTAAAACAAAGTTCAAAAAACCAAAAATAGAACGGAGTAAGAAACCAAAAACATAAAAAAACAATAATGGTTGTGTTGCTTTTATTTTTATTTTAAACAACTTACGAGTTTGTGTTTACTCTTGTTTAACAGATTACAGCGAGAAAGGAGAAAAAAATAATCCAAACTTATATTACGTTTGAATTTTACAACGAAGAAATAAAATAAATAAAAGAACGCCGGTTATCGGAAGTCGAACGGATAAGGAAAGCGGAGACGCGGAGTCGCCAGAGCTTTCTTTAAGGTAGTATCGTCCGCCTCCCGCACTGGCTAACGTGAACTATCCCCTCCCAGGATAAAATCGCTAACGTGCAAGGTCTAGAGCAGTAGAGCCGTGCACCAACGAACTGAAAAAGTGATCGAAAAATGAAAGAGATGGAACGGAGAGACTTGGCTATTCGGATGGGCCGGGCGGACAACACGAAGAGTCACCGGAGACCTTTCACACTGCATGCATGCTTCATTTCTTCTTCAACACTTCATTATTAATGACGTGTCCACACGTGTTTAATTCGGTCTCGTAAAAAGATAAATGTTAGTCCAATTGTCTAATTTTGTGAATTAATTTCTCAAATTATTTTACCTTAGAATTCAATGCTAACATATAAATAGAGGAAAAAGAAGGGTCTCAAGTCCGATGTGGGATAAATGAGTTTTACACTTCCCAAGTGTCCGACTTTGTGAATTAATTTCTCATTCAAGCGAGCATCATTTTTGGCGCACAATACATCGAAACACTCGTCTTACTTAAGAGAATAATTTTACACAATTATTTTTGCGCAATTATTTACACAATTAGTTTTAATGAAATGTACCAATTTACTTTAGGTAATTTTTGCGTTAACTTTATATACTTCTCTAAATTTAATAAATACTTTGTAAAATTTTGTGTTGTTGAAATTTTTTAAGGGTTAATTATTTTTATAAATAAATTTGATAAAAAATATAATCAAAATGCAATACAATTATATATAATATATAACTAATTTAACATAAATACAATTATTAAAGGTAAATATAATGGAGTATCAATGTGGCAAAGTCTGAAGATTGATAGATATGTGATGTAAACTGTTTTTGAAGTTGGTAATTAAGTTGTAATTTTCTGTTCAAAAAAAATCTGAGAGCGTGAGGCATAGTTATCAAGGCGTCGCCTAGGCGACGCCTAGGCGTCTGGGCGAGATATTGGGGACGCCAGATTGGTCGCCTAGCTTTTTCCGCCTAGAATTTGAGTTGTCATCTATTAAAACGCATGCGACAGGTCACCTGGAACGATCTGAATCGCAGCAAAGATCCGGAAATTGAAGATATGGTAAAAATGTGAATTCCAATCGTATAATCGTCCAATTCAGGCACGATTCGATCTTTGAAGATGCGATGCGGGTCGGGCGAGGAAGTGAATTTGCTTGCTTTTCGTCGGCTTAATTAAGAGATTGACGAGTAATTGCCGGCTACTCGCGGGTTACGACTTACGACCCATTAAAAAGTAAAAGGAACAAGACTTTGTGGGTCGGGTCGGGTAGTTCATACGCCTAAATTTATTTTAGAAAACCTAAATGGGTAGTGGGGGTACTGTACACTGGGAACTACTCTAAAAATTACGGAGTAAAAGAAACAAGACTTTGTGGGTATTGTATCTGCCCTTAATTTATTTATGGAGATGGAGTAGTGGGGGTACTGGGAACTATTCTGAATATTGCAATTTCTAATTACTCGTACTATTCTATACCTAAAGGTTTTTTTCTTCATACTCCCTATTTATATATTATCAACATTTTGGTACTTATTTTTTTAGTATTTAATCATTTTATTTATTTATTTCATACTATGGGTGTTTACATTAGTACCTAAAAAATTACCAATATTGACATATTCCACTCGCCCAAGGGACGCCTAGGCGGGCGCCTAATCGCCTAGGCGTCTGGAAGGTGGTCTAGCGCCCGGCCTCGCCTAGTCGCCGTAACAACTATGGCGTGAGGGCTCTGGTAATTTTTTAAAAATCCGAAAAAGAGTGTGAAACAGTAAAATGATGTTGGACAAAGTTTGAGAGAGTCTCAAAATGCCTTCCATTGAGGATACCCTAACATTAGACAAAATTTTGAAGGAAAGATGGACATTGACCGGTACTGCAAATTCTTTTGTAGTCTTTAGATTTATGTCTATTTTATGAACTTTCGACCTTTCGTACATAAAACGATTTTATATATTGAGGTTTGTAAAAATAGATGATACAACTATGAGCTCATGAAAAATATATAAAAAAGTTTAAAGTTGTAATCAGGTTGCAAGCACATTTTCGCTACCATAAACGAGCAAATGTTGCACTTGGATTCAATTAGAAACAATTGCTTGGCAATTAGCCCGGTGATCAATCAATTTGATTGAACTGCCTAGCTAGCTATACGGTGAACATCTAAGGTGGGTGAAGGCTACTATTTACGCCGGAACATACTCATTAGTTCTTGAATGAATGAATGAATGCCTGAGGGCTAATGAAGAAATAATACTATGCCTGTGAGGTAGGGTCAAGCTCGGACACGGACAAAAGGTGACGAGACGACTGACTCTTTTTACTGGATTGGCGCTTCGTTGGAACAAGTGTGGTTTCCTTATCTTCGTTGCCAACTTCGCCCTCACTATTGAACACCGGGTGGATGTACGCATTCTGAAGGTACTCTTTCAGGTTCAAGTTGGGTTCCTTCGTACGTTCCAACGTGTCTTTCATCATTGCCTCCTATACAACCAAGAATGAGATCGGAGGGGAACAAAAAAAACTTCACAAATCATAAGTTGTGTCTGTTTTAAATGATAATTACCTGTAAGGGGTATGTGACAAAAGCTGGTTCGTAACGCGCTTTGCAAAACAGATGGAACCATATTGTCAATATTGGGAGTGTAATAAGAAGCGGCGTTGAATGAGCAGCGCTTTTCGTACTAAGCAATCCCATAAGAAGCAATTGTGAGACAATAAGAGCAGTCACAATGCGCCCGTGCACATCTGGCCAGAACGCTGCTGCACTTTCATACTCTTGGTTGTACACATTGATGATCTGAATTAAGAGATTGACACATCAATTCCCAATTTCATACGTATATATAGAGGTATATAGATTTATTATCGTATTTGGTGTTTGATTTTTTTAACCTGATGGCGATATACGATGTATGCTAGGCTGAAAAACACTACAATGAAAGGAAGGAGAATAGGGGACACAACGGCATAAACAAGGCCAAGGAGGAAATAAAGCTGGATTTGTGGTTCGCCGGTGTTGAACCCAAGACTCCCAGGAGCCATTGCTTCTTCCCTGTCCTTTTCGGTCTTCACCAGGAAGAAATTCTTCAAGTGGTATATTATTAAAGGCTTCAACCTCAGAATCTCCCCGGCAACTCCAGCCCATCCATCCACCATTATGTATGTGATGAAGAAGGTTGCCTTCATTGGGATGGATGCACCAATTGTCTTTGGGATTCTGTGGCAAAGGGAATCCCACGGTTTAGAATAATGGGTAGAAGCCAATTTCTTATCAACGTAAAACGGGTGGAAAATAACGTACTCATTTGCAGACTGATGGATAAAATTGTTCAATTGTTGAAATGCAGTCCCTGCGATGATGCTCCCAAGAAAAACATTGATGAACTGGAAAATGTAATATCTTGTTGCAGATCTTCTCTCAAGTGATGATATGGAGATAAACCCTTCAAATTTGGACATGAACATCAGTATTGAGGGTAGAAAGATTAGAAAAATCTTCAAAGCGATGCCGGGGAGAAATCCCTGGATGACAGACTTCACAGCTTTCCTGCACAAAGATGGAATGTGAAGTAAATAAAAAAAATATTGATAATCCTTTTTAGGTGAGTTAGAGTAAATGTAATGGGAAAACATTTTCTTGACCAAGACGAGTGATGGAAGACGGGTGCTTACGCTTCAATTATGACCTTGAGGAAAGGAAAAACCTTTTCAATTCCCTCAATGTTAGCAAGAGACTGCACAAAAGCAATCGGGATCATGAAGAAAAACGTGAGGAAGAAGAATGCCACGGCAACAAGGAGCCTTCTGATGGTAAGTGAAACATATGGGATTGCCAGGTTATCCCAGTAGACGTCGCGAGGCTCCGGGGCCCACACAGTCAACCAGTTGGTCGGGTTCCGCGACTGTTGAGTTTGTGCACAAACTGCAGCTGCCCATCTTGTCTTGAAGGAAACAAATGCAGCTGGCACAATATACTTGCTGTTGCCAATAGTGTTCATTCTCTCTGTACAAATCTGACATGGAACATCAAGAGTATAAGGTTTTAAGGATAGCATAATAAACACTCAAAAAAAAACATAAGAGAAGTGAGTTGGTGTTTTAACCTCCTTTGAAAGTCTTTCCATTTCAGAACAATAGAAATCGATTGCATCCACACTCTCGCCGCAACACCCAAGAAAACCCCCCTGTTTTTAACGACAAACATATGCCCGAAAAGTTATTAGTAGTTCAAAGTGACAAACATGCATTTTAACTACATATGTATAATCATCTAGCAGGGGAAACAATTCCTAGCTGAATAAATATTACCTTACTTCTTGGCCTCTGAGACTGCTTTTTCGCGTGCTTTAATTGATAGTAGTCAAGCCAGTTCTGATTTTTCTTCTTTTCATTGACTAGTTCTGACAGTCTTTTGGCGTTATATACGACCTTAAATGAAAGAAGGGGGTAATATAACTCGGTATTAGTTAATATTGCAGTACAAACTCACAATGAACTAAAAGGAAGAAAGGAAGTAAAAGGAGAAAAGTACATAACAAGAACATTCTGTCTTCATAAACAAAAAGATAAGTGTAGCAAAACCTGATGAGTGAGGTAATGATCTGGATGGTTGACCATGAAAAAGTGCTCCACAAGTTCACTAACTGATTCGTCCGGATCGGAAGGCACATTTCTAACAAGCACCTGAAGCAAATAGCTCATTTGGGTCAAGAAGCATAAACTTTTCTTTATATCAAGTCTTCGTTTCTTTTCAAGAATCAAAAACTTGGTATAACTTTATTTGAACTGCAACTAATGAACCCTCACAAAATTTCTGTCATTGCGTATTTATATCGCCTTACAGTGAACTGGTCAGGGCGCCGATGTTCAGATGCGAGAAAATGTAGCCTCAACGATGCAATAATCTCATACTCCCTCTTCAACACATACATTGTCCAGAAGGTGAAAGCGTAAGCCATTACTAAGTGAGTCCAGAATCTGCACTAAACGTGAAGTGAAAAGCGTAAAGAAAAAATCATCTTAGGCAAGGTTTCAAATGACTTAATGATGGGAAAAAAGTAGTGTGACAAAGAAAAATCATAAACACAAGTCAAGAATTGAAACATCTTAAAATACACATTTATAAGCACAATGACAATCTAATGTTTGTGTTTCTACGGCTCCTTAGAAGTTAGAATGCACTTTTATAAAGTATATCAATTAACCAACTACAAATTAAAGACATTGAAATGCACTAACTATGGAATGGAAGTCTTGCTAACCTCTGAGATCCCATGGGTATATTTGATATTGAAAGCTTGTCTAGATCACTATACGTCAAATTGGATTCCTCCAACGTGCGATTTGTCCAATTAACTGGAACCATGACTGTCAAAGCGACGATAGCAACAGGAACAAATATCTTAAGCCTGCAACAAAATAAAGAATACGAGCATTCATGAACATTTATTTAACCATGGTCGAATTCCCTAGCTCCTAAAGAAGGAGAAGTTGCAAGTATTTACCCTGTTAAGTAAATCCTCAAATAAACAGCAGAATCTAATCCGGCATGGTCAATGAGCTCAGCCTGTGGCATTTGCAGTGCAGCGGGCATCCAGTTAAGAAACCTCAAGTAGGAATGGAAGTCCAAGTTGACAAACCTGCGTACAAGCGCCCCGGAGTGCAAGGGGCTGTTCCTTAGCCCCTTTAGATACCACTTTGGGAAGTATACCCTATCATTGACAGGTTGTATTCTGAGAATGGCAAATGCCACCAAGAAGGCAAATGCACTCAGGATGTTGATTGCTGCCCCGACGCCTATGTCACTCAGTGTTGCCATTCCTATGCTTCAAAATGAATATATTTTCCTGTAATGCAAAAAAAAACACTTGTCAACAACAACAACGACGACAACAAACACAGTCAATTATGAAATACAGAGGTTGTTTCCAAGAGATCCATATCCATATACATTAATACAAACAAAGAAACAAAGTGCAAATGTATAAAAAGAAGAGTATAAGCCGACTATAAGAACTAGACATAAAGCACAAAGCACACAAGCACTCGCTATAAACTAAGTCATAAAATACACCAACACTAACTACTCCCGTGCTTGGGTATTTATCCACTTTCAAAATTGACAAACTTTGACCATAATTTAAATAAATTCGGTATTAGATATTAATACAAAAATAATTTTATTGGATTCGTTTTATAAAACAATATCAAAATTTTATTTTATTTAATTAATATACAATATATATATTTTATTTAATTATAGATTAAAGGTTGAAATTGTTTATTACAAAAAGTTATAACTAGACAAATACTCTGAGGCAGATGTAGAAAAAACTAAGGCTCATTGCCTCATTGGTCTATCTCATCTCAATATACCTCAAGCCATGACTTCAACAAAACAATTAAATTTCCAAACAACAATAAAAAAAAGCCATTACATGTAAACAATCTACGACATAGCAACCTGAAATAGGGCATTATTGGAATTTTGCCTACGAGATGACTTTGGGCTGTTTTGACCAATTTTGACTGATTTGACTTGTGACAAAAAAGAATGTTTTGCAGTTGGCAGTTTGATTCAAAAAACCCAAAATATGAAAATCTATGGGGAATAGCCTTTCGGTTTGCCAAATCCCAGCATTATCAAGCAATATAATCAGGATTAATCACTGCTAAACAACATGCACACATTAATCAGAGAATTGTTGAAGCGTATTTTCCAGTACCTGCTAAGAGTGTGAAGAACAGAACGACAGCGTTTTATGGAGCTTCTTCTTGGCAGCAATGGAGAAAGAACAGAAAATGAACATGGATTGGAACATAGAAAACAAAAAAAAACGTCAGCTGAAACTGGAAATGGAAGACTAATTTGGCAATATTATACCCAGTAATTATTGCAGAGTATTAATTTATTACGAGTAATTACGGCAAATTACGGTGGACCTAAGGTGAACCATGAGGTTGATAAGCATTTGTTTAATGTTGAATACTTTTATTAATTAAATTAATATAGAATGTAAAATTGTTTAATTACTCAATATAATTTGTCCAATGTAAATACCAAAAGTTAAACTAGATAAACAAATTGCAACAAAGAAGAGTACTCCGTATTACTCTATACTTCATCCAATCTACAATAACTGTTTATTTAAATTTCTAAAATATTGTATATTTAGAATGAATATAGACATACTTAATTCCACATTCGTTATGTAAAAAATACTCCTTCCGTTTCTTAAAACCATTCATCTTTCATTTTTTTTTGTTTTTCTTAAAACACTTCTCTTTTCTATTAAAAAACCACTTTTACACCTACTTTTTCATACCCTACCTATCACATCATATTTTTTCACTAACAACTAAACTATCACATTTTACTTTTACCCATCACATCAAGGGCAAAATTGGAAAGTCAACTACAATTTAACACTTCCTTATTCTCCCCTAAAGTCAAAAGAGGAACTCTTTTGAGAAACGGAAGGAGTATAATGTAATGCGTATCTAATAATACTTAATAGAACTCATTGTTTAATTTTGTATTTTTGTTGTGAAAATTGTTAATGTGTCTTAATTGCTTGTTGTTTACGAGGTTTTGACTGAAGTTATTTTCAACTCAATTTATTTAAAAATTAGTATGAAATTAAAAAATAAAACTTGTACATTTAAAAATTATATCAAAACCTTTACAAAAGAAGATGTTACAAGACTATATTATTTTTCTCAAATGATTAGAGATTATGGTTAAAATGTGACTTTATAAATAACAAACATGCAACTTAAATTGAAAGCGAGGGAATAATATATAGTAGAAATCACCTTAAATAAGAATAAAATATAAAAAAGTACCAAAATAGGACTTACATGTTTTTATTTTCGAAATAGGAATTCGCACTGTAGTAATGTGGCACTGTGTACACGTGCCTATTATTATACTTTTTGGTAATGTAAATACATTTTAACTCTTATTTGGGCAATAAAAACACGAAAATAATATTTTGATATATTTTCAATGTTTTACTCCTATTTTAATCTTTTTTTAATATATATGTAGGAATAATAAATAAGAAATGGACAGATATTTGTTTTTTGAGAGTGGAATGGATGTCGGGCAAAGAATGCATGTTAAATTGAGTTAATGTAACGGCTATTGATGACGGCAACGCAGATAATCTCCTGCGTGCGGCCACCGTTGAACCGATGAGTAAAGACGAGCAAATTCCTGAAAGCATGGAATTGATGTCCTTGAAATGGAATCATAATTACGGGGATTTAATGTGATTAATAATAAAAGCATTCAAAGAACATGGGCTTAAAATTGTGATAATCACAAGTATCAAAATCACTCCCTTTTTCCCAAAAAAATTTAAAAAAAAAAGTTAATTTCTACTTTCTAGAATGGTACTTAACACCTGTCTTTTTCCAAATTAGTCCTCCTGACTAGCGGCCGTTAAAACGACGTTAAAAAACATTTAAGCCATATACGGAGTACTATTTTTTGGAAATGGTACTTTCGAACTTGGTATTTTCTCAAATTGGTCCATTTTCGAAATAAAAATATATTAACTATGAAAAAATATTTTCAATTTTATATAATGAAAATATAATACTAAACACTATAAATATAATTTTATAAATTTGAAAGTAACATTTTAGATTATTTACAATTACTTAAAAAATATCATGTAAACAAAATATTTAATAAACGTTGAAAAATACACCATAAATAGGAGTTAAACATAGAGAGAGCTCCTATTTTGGTACTTCATTTATATTTTACTCCTATTTAGAATGATTTCTTTAATGATTATTAAACATTTTATTTACACACTGTTCTTCTAGATATTGATAAATAATAGAAAATATTTAATTTTAAATTTATAAAAATAAATTTATATTTTAAATATTATATTATCATCCTATAGAATTTAAAATATTTTTCTATGATTAATGAATTTTTATTTCAGAAATAGATCAATTTGATAAAACACCGAGTTAGAAAGTACTATTTTGGAAAGGTAGTATAAAGTTTAACATTGTTTTAACGCCGTAATAACGGTTAGTCGGGAGACTGAACTGAGCATTATTTTCAATTAACGAGTGTCATCTTGGGAATTAGTTAATTTTGGAGACTAATTTGAAAAAATACATAGTTATTGAGTACCATTTTGAAAATTTACTAAAAAAAACTAAACATGTCATATTATACACCCGGATGTATGCATATTCATTACGTATTTATAATTTTTAGATGTTTGTTTTGTCTACTTTTATTATATTTTCGTAAATGTTAGTACTCTCACATCTCAATTTAAATCGCATGTTTCAATTTACAATGTTTGCTTGATTTTTTTTACATACAATTTATTTGAAAATTTGAATAGGATTAAAATATAAACTTTACATATTGAAAAACTTTATCAAAGTTCTACGAAACAAGTGGTAACACGGCTATATTGTTTTATCAAATAAGTAACGAAAATAGAAAAAGATAGTGAATAAACTTTGACCATATGAATAATAAACAAACAACTTAATTTGAGATGGAGTGAGTATTATTTATTTAATTATTGAAAACACTCATTTTTCTTTAAACATACACACTTTCATAAATTGATTCTACAATATTCGAGGTACATCTAAATGTGTAATATATGGAAAATGTTAGAATCACAAATAAAATAGACCAAACTTATGAATTTACTATTTTTGAAATCTCTTGAAAGAATAAAGTGGTCTCATTAGATTAAAAAGGTGAATATTTAAATTCACAAATTAGTAGTTTTTTATTTGTGGCTTTAACATTTCTTATAATATATCTACCCCATGGAAATCACATGTTTTTACCTTTTAGTAGGAATTTAAGTTATGGTTTTTCTTCCTACATTGGTCCACTTTCCACAAAAAAAATAGTGTGTCTTATCCCCTAGTCCTAGTCAAACGGTCACTGAGATAAGATAAATTAAGTAGACTCTAACACTAGAGGTAAAAAACAACATGAGCCATTGGAGCGGCCATTTTTTTTATTAAATAAATGTCCCTATAAAGAAGTAACTTGCTATCAAAATAATTCATTATTTTTATTCCCTAAATTGAAATTTTGTAGTGTAAATGATGGCAATGCAATGATAATTTAACAATGTAAATATTCTGGAAGCATGATGGTGGAGCGTAGTGGCAATGTGGTGATAAAACAATGATCAACGGGGTTTAACACCGGCGATGGAGCTCTGGCAACGAAGCTCCAGCGGCGACGCTCTGGTGGCAGTGTGGCGTGGCAATCTAACAATGTGCAATGTGGGAGTGGTGACGTGAATTTCTGTTTAGGTCACAAAAAGAATATAACTTCTATCTTGGCACTGTCATCACCTTTTACTCCTTTGTAAAGGTACTTCTCCCTTTTTATTAGAAGTCCTATCTAGACTTTTTGAATCGATCCTCTTCGCATTTAACTCTTTTTAAATTTTTTGATATTCATATTTTTTTTATCAGATGTTTAATAGATTAGGCGTCAACTACTTTCTTTCCACCAGAGCCAAGGTCAATGGCTCTAGGGTTCAACTATGAGTCCCCAATTATCAACAGGTCGTTACCCTTCGTTCGCAACTGGCAACGCCATTCTGGCCAAGTGAGACTTCGTGTATACTCCGTAGTTATATTTGTTGAATTTTGTGGACTTCTCTCCCACTATTAGGTCCTCTTCGGATTGGAGGGGAGGAAGAGAAGGAAAAGGTGTTAGTCCTTCATATGTTGTGTTTACCCCATATAGGGCTGGCGTTATTTTTTGACAAACCCAATGGTCGTTGATAGTATGTAGTTAGTGTTTTAGCATTAAGCTATTCTCATCACACCTTTCTACTGAAGAATTTCCATCAGCAAAGGAGTCTGGTGGTAACGAAGAAGGGAGTACCTAAGAGTTACATGGAAACTCGGAGTGCTGAGGACACTTGAACATCGGTTTGGTTTTCCTAGATTTTTAGTTCATCTTCACTAGGGTTGAGCACTATATATTAACTTGGCATCTTGGTGGGCAGGTAGAGCGAATACGTGACATACACAAATAATACAGAGTTCATCAGACTTTGCAGATCGCTGTGTGGGTTGACTATATTACAGGTGGTTAATCTCATAAGAGATTTCAAAACAAAAAACTGCTCCTAGATATCCCCAGTTTTGTGGTAAGAACTACCAGGTACCCTCAATTTTAAAAATATATTTTCAGATACCCTGAATTATGAAAAAATATACTAAGAAGGGATTTTCCATCCATCCCAATTTTTCCGTCAAGTTCATCATCATCATCAACACCATCATCATCATCATCCCCTTTACGTGTACTTCCCCCCCTCTCCCTGTTCTTCTTTTTCTTCTTCTTCTCCTTAGCTTTCACTTCCTATTTTCAAGATCCCCCACCCCTCATCCTTATTGCTTATTCTTCTCCTTATTATTATTATTATTATTATTATTATTATTACTATTATTATTATTATTATTATTATTATTACAATTATCATTATTTTTATTATTATTGTTATCATCATCATCATCTTCATTTTTTTGGTTTTAAAAAAAATCATCATTCTTATTGTGACTACGTATTATTATTATTATTATTATTATTATTATTATTATTACTATTATTATTATTATTATTTATTACAAAGTATTATTTTCTTCTTTTAAATTTTTATCGTTAATATTCAAAATTAATATTAATAATTTTTATTAAAACTAATTATTACTCCCTCTGTTCTAAAAAAGAATTCCTACTTTGAAAAAGTGAAAAAAATAAGGAAGTGTTAAATTGTAGTTGACTTCCAATTTTGCCCCTGATGTGATGAGTAAAAGTAAGATATTATAGATAAATTATTATAGAAAAA